AGGGTACTCGTACTATGCGAGTTGCTCAACCAAAATACTGCTGATGCCAGTTCAACGACCAGATTCCGGTCGTTCCATCGCCAAGTGAGTCGAGGCGATCAGGTCGGTGCTTATCAGCCTCAGCTTCTTCCCGCGACAGTGTTGAGTTGGGAACCTTGGTGAACGCCTCACCTCGACTGGCTTGAAGTTCCACCCTCGAAACGAAATGCCGGCTCTGCTAAGGCTACCGGTCCCCAATAGGCTCACCCCAATAGAACCTCGCCCTCACGGCTCAGTTCCCAACCGTCTAATGGTTCAAGCCACCTATTCTCCCGCGGTGGCCGTTGATTCATCCTCCCCGGCGATTTGCAAGTCAACCTAATTCAACCTCCCCTCGCCAACCAGTGAGGCATCGTCTCCCATCATCCTGCTATCTGTCAGTTCGTGACGTTGATTTTAGTCCCCCACATCTTATCCGTTCCGCGTTTCTGCGAATCGCATACGGAACTCCAAAACTGATTCAATTACAGTATCAAATTCAATGTCATCGTTCCGTCGCGACTGCTGCTGCTTATTGCTGCCTATGTCCTTCTCCCGAGCACAAATAATGCAGAATTTAACTTTCAACCACTACGAAGTTCAATCGGTTGCGGCACTCCGAATCCACCTCCCAGCGGACATCCCGATATCGCATTAACTGTAATCATATCATGGCTCAATGAAATCAGTCAGATTCTGTTCCGCTTCATTATCTCAACCATCGACATCGCCAACGATCCACGGATCTGCTGTGTAGGCGATTGCTTGATGATCTCCCGTGCTTGCTGGGATGTTGAATTGTATCGTTCAGCGACTGTGGGGGACACTGATCCCCAGACTCGTGATGCGTGGGCTCCCCGATTATCATCAATTCAGCGCCCATTCAATCCAACTTCCCTCCCTCCTGTTCATCCAGTCATCAACTGCGACCGCAATGGACCTTCTCGATTCAAACCGTAAACCGACCAATCACATGTACAGTATCCATCTGTTGAACAGATGGTTGAACAGTTCGACCCACCCGTTCCCGACGGCGAACCTCGGCGAACCACATTCAATGCCTGGTTCGTCCGTCAGTTCACCCGTAATCTTATCGTGTACAACTGATCTTGTTGGGAAAGCAGGGTTGGAATCGTCTGTGTCGCGATGCCGACTTGTTCGTACGCAGTGCCTCGAAACTCTAGTTTGGACCATGCGTTTCCGTCGCCGACGTGATTTTGCGGGTAATAAATATACTTAGATGGTCTCTGCGGTCGTTTGTCCACACGAGTGGAACCGTACGTGTGCAGAAAACCGAGCGTCCGAGTATAACTGTATAAGTGACCCGGGAATTTGGGCGTTTCTATTTCCCTCAACGCTACAGATTGAAAGCTTACTTTCTCACCTTTTCGTTTCATCGGAACCGTTTCGGAGGTAGCAAACGAGCATGAACATCGGGGCAGAATGATTTTGATCCGCATACGGAGATGTCCGGGTCTGCCGAGCGTGGGACACCGGGATCCTCCTCCTTGTCTCTGATCATCACCGCAAACAACGGCTACGAGACGCTGCTGGGTTCACATTCACTCAGGCGACAACCACACGGTTCTTTACTGATCCCCCTGGACGCAGAGCTGTCTGCTTGAGGATTTCCTGCCGATCTGGCGCTTATGTACCGCCCACGTCCGCCACTTCAATATCGACCTTGGGCGACTCTGCGGCAGCCTGGCGGTGCACCAACGCATCTCACGACGAGGATCAACTTATATGTGACACGCTATAGGCCATAGTGGGCCTGGAAAACTCGCCAACTCCCCGACATCTGATTGTAAGTGGTCGATTGAAGCTGAAGGGCGGGGAGGGATGAGATAAACTATGTGGTGCGCCTAATGCCCTCCAGTCCTCTCCCCGGAGGTGATATCGACTTCCTAGCCGGTCCTTCCAGGCTCGTACGGCCTCCTGTATTCGCAGCGGGAAATTATCTACCTCTTCTGGGCTCCAGAAATTCGTGTTTCCCCCTCACCTGCGATCTTCCGTGTGATTTCGGTGTGAATTTCCTTGACCTCAAGCTTCTGATAGATGCGTATAACTCTGCTGGTGGTGCATGAGGGGGAACCAAATCAGACTGAGGGCGTAGATGGAAGTAGAGGGATCCTGCGGCGATATATCATAGCCGCGTTCCCTTAATAAGTTAATATTCCGGCCTTGACCTTTATGGAATTGTCGATAAACTGCCCCGCTCGAAGGCAATTGAATGACGCACGAAGGTGGTTTGAGTATGACTGAACCACAGTCCATATTTTCCCTGTTCCTGGACAGCATTCGGACTCGGTCCTCGCCCTCCCAGCACCAGGGAATTTTTAAAAACCCGGACGGAGCTTTGGGTGACTCGACAGCGGTGAGAATGGAGGCTCAAACCTTGGCAGACGGTAATACCACACAAGGAGTCGCCGAAATTTCCTTCCAGGTGCACAAGTGGTGACCCCGTGTTGAACGGACACCCAACAATACACCCTTTGGACCCACAACTGTCGCAAGACTCGCACTTGACTCAAAACTTCAAATCCGGCATATTAAGCAAGAGCGGTAGACACCGGAAGAATAGGAGGATCTGCAGTGACATTGCCAAAGAAGGAGACCCCGAAATCTCTTCGCAGGTGCACTCCCGTTGTGAACGGACAGCCAACACACCTTTTGGACCCACAACTGTCGCACTTGACTCAAAACTTCAAATCCGGCATATTAAGCAAGAGCGGTAGACACCGGATGAATAGGAGGATTTGCAGTGGCATTACCAAATAAGGAGACCCCGAAATCTCTTCGCAGGTGCACTCCCGTTGTGAACGGACAGCCAACACACCTTTTGGACCCACAACTGTCGCACTTGACTCAAAATTGAGAGCCGGCATATCAAGCAAGAGCGACAGACACCGGATGAATAGGAGGATTTGCAGGGGCAAGTCAGATTCGCGTTGCAAATAACACAACCGTGGGAAGAAACCCCGACGATTGCCATATCGAGTGGCGTTGAAAATAAGTCCGCATGTTGAATGGGTGGTTGCTGTGTTGTGGTCCCGAGGTGAATGTGCACAGGCACAGTGCGTCGTCTGAGATTGCCCATTTCAACTGGGTGCTAAATTCAACAATCACCGCGGCATTCTCCAAACGACTCACAACTCACATTGTTTGGAATTTTGAGTCGGAAAGCAGACCGTCCTCGAAGTATGACTCCAATCCGCCGACTGGATTTAGGGTATAAAGAGGGGTGCTCTTCAATGCACTCTCTATCTTCTCCTCCCTCTCACACAATGGCTCAGCAACCTCATTGGGACAACTCATCGCACAACGCACCGCCCTGGGCGCCCTGGCTGAAAGAGCGTCACTCGCCATGCGAGCGATGTGCCATCAATGGCATCAGCTGCGAGAACCCAGGTCGTGGGGCATGCGGGCCGTGTCGTGCGGAGGCGGAGGGCAGGGATGACGCGAAATACACGAAGCTCTGCTCGTTTGTCACGCGGGCACAGCGGAAGGCTAGGAGCAGGTCACGTGGTACTGGCAGAGGGAGCTCACCGTCAGCACCAGGACCGAGCCATCCTCCTCCTATGCAGCACGCATCGACCTCCCGCCTTCCAGCACCGGAAACAAACCTGTAGGTTGCTCTTTACACTGAGTGACTAACTAATACTCTTGATCCAGGAACTACTACCACCCGCACCCTGCACCACACCCACCGGCGCAACAGCGGCCACAATATCAGGGGCAGCCACAGTATCAGGGGCAGCCGCAACAGCAGGGGCAGCCACAGTATCAGGGGCAGCCACAGTATCAGGGCCAGCCACAACATCAGGGCCAGCCGCAGCATCAGGGCCAGCCGCAGTATCAGGGGCAGCCGCAGTATCAGGGGCAGTCACAGTATCAGGGCCAGCCGCAACATCAGGGCCAGCCGCAGTATCAGGGCCAGCCACAATATCAGGGGCAGCAACCTTACAGATATCGGCCACAGCAACCTGGAAACCATTTCCAGCCCCCACAACACCCGCAATATGTGCCACAGCTTGAACAACCTATGCCTGTTATGGTGGAAGCTCCCCGCACACCACCGTATGTCCAATTATTCAACTTTCAGAGAAGCATGCACCTGGACTCACATCCTTTGCAGCGAGGGGAGGTGTACCTGCCTTCCGGGGGGGCCCTGCTGGTGTCCCGCGGGCAAGAGGAATCGGAACTGATCTCAGGGGCAGAAATGGGCTGTGGTGCCCAAGTACATCCCAGAGATGGGATGTTGTATTTACTACTAAGTATGAGTCTATGATATGAATGCAATATGATTCCATGCCAATTTTCCTATCCGAGAGCACCCAGTCTCCAGACATGACATGGACCAGGGCACATGGTTACCTTGGGCGAACGCGGGTCTGCGGTGCGACTTAGTATGTGCGGGATGCAATTGAGTATATGGATGGAAGGTCAACACCACAGAACAGGGTGCACGTTGCAATCATGATCACCGCTCTGGAGGGTCATTCGGGCCTTGATTCGGGCATTCCAATTTCCGAACGAAAAATTATTAGTAGCGAGAACGACGAGCTAGTCATATGGACCTGACATCTTCCTCAGTATCCAGTTGCAGTGACCAGCAGAACCTCGGATCCATTCACTGCCGAGTAAGCCAGACAATCCGCACACGGTCTGACATCTAATCCTGTGCGCCTGGACCAGTGGTTCTCCGCTTGCTCAGCTGTCCGTGAATGATTCATGTTCTAGAAAGAAAGACAAAACAGGCAGCCATACTGTACTATTACATTCAATTCGGCAAGGGGGTGACCAAAAGTTCAAGTTCGAATCCACTATCCATGGAAGTCAACTGAATTGGGCTCGAGTTGAAGGATATGAGGATTACTTACAGCCCGAAAATGCACCCATCGAAGAGACTAAGCTCGAATGGCCGCCCATCGACTCGCAGTTCAAAAGCCGCTTCAAGCAGAAGAGGAGCAAAAGAGTGGTCCGACTTGTCTGGTTCGAACAGACGACCCTCAGATATTCCCTCATTACGGTATGTGGTATCCAGTTACAGTCTGATGCTCTTCCAACTGAGCTAAAGTCGGAATTCGAAAAGGGGCCAGGTTTGGAGGGGTCGGTGGCGGACCGAAAGGTCGCAGATCTTTTTCAGCTGCGAACGGATCCAGAACTCGGAGGGAGGTATCGCACTCGAGGTCTTTGCTGGTTCGGAGAGGTAAGCTGAAAAAAAGAAAGAAAAAAAAGGCAACACGGTTGTGGAATCAACCAAGCGCGAATCGAACGAGCGGGGTTGTGGGAGCCGGCGCCGCTTCTCAACATGTGCTCCTCGAAGCGACCTGCAAAGGGGCAGTCAAGTGCGAGTGCAGAGTCAAGACAAGACACAAGCAATCTGGGCGAGGGTTATGTGGGCCAAATGCGAGACGGGAATGGCTCATGTTCGAGTGAACATTGAATGCGGCGCAAGTCGAGTGCGTGCCCGTGGTTGGGATCCTAACCTCACCTTCGGATCAACCAAAGCCGAGTGAAAAGAGCGTGGTTATGGTCGTTTAGTTGCTACCATCTCCCTTGGCCCTCCCTGCGAAGAGGTAAGTAAAGCTTCACCGGACGACTGGAAGCGGCCTGAAAAACGGTCAATACAAGTAAAAAAGCCTTAAAACACAGCAAAAAGAGGGCAGACCCCGAATCGAACGGAAGGGTACCGGAATCCCCGACTTGAACACTGTGTACGCGCAGATGTCAGCCCATCTTGCTCTCGGTGTAATTAGTTGGCGGTTGGACGCACGAATGACGGGGACGGTACGCCTCGATGCGGAGTACAGTGCCGTGGATGGATGTTGAATCGACGATCGTTCCCGTGGGTAGAGACACCGTGCGGCTGGAGCACAGGTGTAGCGTTAACGTTGTCAGCCCAAAGGACGCGACTTGAGGATCCGGGAGAAGCTTGTAGAATGGCGGATGAATCGGACACCCTTGAGTGAAACACAGACGGAATGAATACCCGTTGATACTTACCGCTCGGCGCTGATTGTTCGCTCAGAATCGCAACACAAGTTCCGAGTTCTGATTAGGATAAATGCGGGATGGTCCTGCATAGAGCAGCGGAGACGGCCCGACAACTAAGACTCATTTGGCCTGTTGAATTTCTTTTTCCTGGGACTTTAGGTTTTGGGTTGGTCCACGAGGATTGCTCGGAACCGCGCCAGGCAGTATCTGGGGAAATTAAGCAGAAGAGCACAGACACCATATTGCGAGGTCGGCCGTAGGTATGTCGGCACCGAGGCTTCGTCCCGGCGCGGCGTGGTTTTTTCTTTCCTTTCTTCTTCGCCAATAAATGGCGGATCTTGTCGTCTTTGGGAGGGTTTTAGACACAAGGAAGTCGTCTAGAAAATACCGTTTCAGTATGGGAGGGTCTGAACAAGTGGAAATGAGAGCTGGGCACGAATTGCGATTTTGCCCATCGTTGCAGGAGACAAGGATGCGGGTTGATCCGAGAACGTAATGATGGAACACAGCCATCGGCCTTTTGGCAACAACACTCATGGCCGATTCAGCCTCGCGCACCGACGCCCCTGCTAGCCACCTGGAACAGCGCTACCCTGGAGTAGAAGCCACTCACCGTTGGGTCCCCGTACTGGAAATGTGTCTATGCCGCCGCACTCGTCTGTCTAGCCATCCCCTTCGCACAACCTTTGCTTTTTTTTTTTGGATTCCTTCTTGGCCCGCAATCGGCGGCGGCGAAACAAAGACAGTTCATTCTACTGCGCCGCAAGATGCCTTAGTTCCTGGCTCGGTCATCGCTGTCGACACAACGCCGCAGACGCGAGTGTATCGCCAGTGGACGGTGTCTGAGTCAGTGGCAACCTCACCGTCGTGAATGGCCGCTATCCTAGCCCGGTAATCGAGGCCGACGTTGACGAACGCATCCTGGTAGGTTCCTCGTTCGATTTGATTATGCACCTCCCTCAAACCCTCGCAGGTGTATGTTACAAATGCGGCCGCCTTGCGCGACCTTACTCAACAATTTTACCCTCGGCGGCGGGACGGCGACCTGGTGTCAGTGAGCGATCCGATAGTGGACACACGCGTGCGTACTACCCTGCCCCCAACTCAATATATTCTGAATTCTGACCGTCGCAGCGGCCGTCTGCCTCCACGGCGCGATCGTCATCCATGGCCACGGATCGCAAGACCGCCTCTCTCCGCCCTACACCTCAGACCACGCACCCGTCATGGCGGACCTTTAGAGCGCGCCTGCCGGATGAGCGGCGCTTGGCGTACCTGAGGGTGTGTTCTCCTCTCTGCACCATTTACAATTATCCCCAACTCAAACGCACTCGCAGGGCAAGCCCATCGAGAGCTCGCCCGAGCTTGTCCCGGACTGGGCGGGGATCAACGGATTGGGCGGTGGTGGTATTCACCCTAATTCGACGTGCCTATCCCTCCCTCCCTCACTCCCTACCCCAGTTTAATCGACTCCAATCTGCGCTGTGCTGATATGATATCCTAGTCGTCCGTCATGAAACACCGGCCTCCGTCTTATCAACGCCGCCTCCGTGTCTCCGTGGACGGGCACGCGCTCACCGTGAGCGCCCGTCGAGCCGACTATCAACCAGTTTGATTACGTGCTTTTTTAACACTCATCGGCCGCATTCCCGCAGGTAGGTTGACATAGTTGGTAATGGTAAGGCCTATCCCGGAATCGGCTTATGTAGCTTGTCTTCGACGAGTCGCAATTTTTGTTCCCTGGACACCATAGTAGCAAAATTCACCTTTGGTAAACTGTCCCAGTCCCCTCACAGAACTCCACCTATTCGTAAGTTAAAAAAAACTTACCAGTTACTTACTCTCACATTAGACAGTTCAAATCGCGCAAAACGCCGGAGATGAACGCCGTGCACCCGGTTGCTTCTCACCTCGGCAGAACGCGGCTAAAATTGAAATAAATCGAGAGAGCTGCGCAATTCACGCTCAGAGTAAGCCGGCACACCCGAATAAGCGTCCTCACCAATCCTCTCGGCCCTCCTTACTAACTACATCTGGTGCCGTGTGTCACGGTGTGTGTCCGCGCTGGAACAACTATAGCCTGTCAAATGACCTCAAGAATTGGTAAGCGTTCCTTTTGGTCAGCGAGCACGCAATGGCGACCAGTGGATTGCGTGTGTCCAGACCTTTATATACGGCGACGGGAGGGCTCGTCTCTCACCAGTCTCATCATCGTCCCTCCTACAACTCCCATGGCCATAACTTCGTCGTCCTCTACCACTGGCTCTCTGAACTTCTATGTCCCTCCTGAGGACGGGGCGCGCGCCTACCAGAGCATAAACCGCTCAGCCGAGACCGGGATCCGCGACCGGAATTTCACCCTCGAGGAGAAGGAGATCACCATCCACAATCTCCGCGGCAACGAATCCTCCGCGACGCTCGACACTACCGGCTTCCAGCTGTTCAAGCATCCGGCGAAGCACACTGCGTTTACGAGTGACGCCGACGTCGAGAAGGAGTACTACCCCGAGAGCATCGAACTCATAAAGCAGCTCACTGGGGCCAGTCGAGTCGTTTTGTTCGACCACAGTGCGTCTCCCCTCCTTGTCAGTGTGTCTTATGTTCAAACTCAATTAATTGTATATTACATAGCCATTCGCCGCCGCCGCCCGGACCAACTCGACGACGGCCCAGGCCGCCGCCAGCCCGTCCCGCAGACGCACATCGACCAAACCAACGCCTCGTCCGTGGCGCGCGTCCACCGGCACCTGCCCGCCGAGGACGTCCCCGCGCTACTGAAGAAGCGGTTCCAGATCATCAACCTCTGGCGCCCTATCTCGCACCCTGCGGACGACTGGCCCCTCGCCCTGTGCGACTTTCGCACCGTCGACCCCGTGAACGACGTCTTGCCCGTCGCACTGGTGTACCCCGACCGCGAGGGCGAGACGTTTGGCGTGAAGTTCAACCCGAGGCAGCGGTGGACGTATTTCTCGGGGGTGACACCCGAGGAGCTGATTCTCATCAAGTGGTGCGTTCTCCCAGCTCTCATCGTTCCTGAGCTCGTTATTCACTGTGGATTTGCAGTTATGATTCGCAGCAGGACGGGAGCGTCGCGCTGTTTACTCCTCATACGGCGTTCAGTGACCCAGCGACTCCGGAGGGCGCGCCTCTCCGCGAGTCTATCGAGCTCCGAGCTCTTGTATTCTATGACTGAATTCCTCCTGTACACATACCTGTATTTCTATGTGTGGATCGTCAATTGGGCGAGACACATATTTTTTGCGCTACATTATTACGGCTGATGAACATTAATATCGCGTTGTTTCAACACAAAAACTACTGAGAGGTTACAGGCAAACAGCAATTAATCACACAGTCGTGGCGATGGTCGGTCCTGGTGGCTAGGTATCGTTATTCCCTGCGGTAGTACGGAGGTAGGCATTGCTTCAAGGGAGCGGTTCCGAATCTTTTTTGCAGAGGTGGAGGCTAGTGACCCTACCAGCCGGCTAAGCGCGAAAATCAGGTTGTGGCAACAACGCAAGGAACAAGTGGTCATAAAAATTGACGCTCTCGGTTGACCAAGGAACGAGTTCTGCCGAGAGCAGGGTTTGCGGATCAGAGACAGTCGAGACAGGGGCTCAATATATTTCACCTCTTGCTCTGCCCCCGCTCGACCGTCTGGCGCGACTCTAGTGCTCTCTCATACCCACTTTGCTTGCCCACCCACCCATCGCTTCATACTTGCCTCATACACGACTTGGCATTCCCATATAACCTGTTTACTGTCCTTTCCAATTTCTGCAGACATTTTTATCTACGAAATACACGACTTTTTATTGTACAGCTCCGATGTGCATCGAGATATTGACTGGACCAATGTGGGGGTATCCACGCAGGACCCACATTGCGTCGGGAAGCCGAGCTGACGCCGGTTTTTCCGCCCAAAAAAGGGAGGCCAGTAGAAGCACTAGATGTGAGTATCACGTCGCGAGGTGAATACAAAAACGGGGAACGGAGAACAAGAAACTCAGACCCACAACAGATTGCTTACTTATCGCATGGAGGCTACGTGGAATGTGGGGATAAGGGGTGAAGTCGCGACCTG